TGGCCACCCGCTGGGACCCCCATCCCTGCAACGCCCTTGTCCTCTCCAAGGCCTCCCGCCCTGCCCATCAGCCAGCTGGGCAGGGGCAGAGCAGGCTCTTGGGGACAATCCCTCAGGGGCGCTTCTCCCCTGCCCCACAAAGGTGCTCATTCATGGTGGCATTTGCTCTCTCCCCTCCAGCATGCATGCTGTGTGGCCGGGCAGAGGCTGACCCGGATCTCTGCGGGCGCAAAATGGAGAAGCAAGACATCTGCGCCCATGAGTTTTGCCTGGTGAGTTATTACGGGGCTGCCTCCAGCTTTCCGATAGGCAGTCCCGGCCACACTCTCCTCACCAGCTCCTCTTCTCTTCTGCAGTTTTTTGCCAATGAGATTTTTCATCCTGGGTGTAAGGATGGGGTGTTGCTTAAGGATGTTCGACGGGCAATCAAGCGGGCAGCAAGGAAGGTGAGGACCTGGGGAAGAACAGGGAGATTTGGGCCAGGAGAGGTTTGCGGGAGCTCAGCCCAGGACCTGAGAAAGAAACCCCAGCCCTTCCAGCCAGCCCTGGCACAACTGTCTTGCTCCCAGCAGCTCCACGAGGCTCCAACACAGGAGCCTCATCCGCCAGACGGATCTGCGGGCTCTGACCCAGCAGCGGCCACATCCTGCGCCCTGCCCCAAGCTCTGGGGCTGGCTGTGGGTGCCGTGAGGCTGCCGCTGATGGCAGCAGCTGCTCTGCTCTTTCCAGCACTGCTTCGTCTGTGGCGAGACCGGGGCCGCCATCACGTGCCATGAGACGGGTTGCGACCGCAGCTTCCATCTCCCCTGTGCTGTGGAGGGTGGATGCGTCACCCAGTTCTTTGGGCTCTACAGGTAAGGGCAGCTGGTCCTTCCAGGGGACACCCCTTGCTTTCAGTCCCCTTTCTGCCAGCCTCAGCCAAATGGAAAAGGGAAAATGCAGTGCTGCTTCCCAGCGGCCAGTACCAGCAGAGCCAGAACCACGACCAGGCAATGTCTGGTGCTCCTTCACATCTCCTCTCCCTACCTGGCCCCCACCAGGGAAGAAGCCAGCACTTGTCAGCTCATGAATCCCTCTCCTTTTCCTCCCAGGTCCTTCTGCTGGGAGCACCGGCCAGAGCAGGCAGTGGAGGCATCTCCGGAGGAGAACACCCCCGGCCTCATCTGCCTGGAGCCGGTGGAGGAGAACAAGTCCTACAGCACCATGGTGTGCCCAGCCTGCAAGCACGCCTGGTTCCACAGGGGCTGCATGCAGAAACAGGCTTTGCACGCTGGCTTCTCCAGCTTCCGCTGCCCACATTGTCAAAATGAATACCGATTTCTTATGGAAATTCTCACCATGGGGATCCGAATCCCCTTCAGGTTGGTGTCCTGCCCGGCTCACATGACAGCAGGGTGCAGGTGCTGGCCCAGCAGGCCTGGCCCTCTGCTGTCCCGTGAGTCTGGGCCTCGGGAGGCTGGGCCTCAGCTTCACGGAGGAGCTGGCGACAGGGCAGGGGGGGAGGAGCAGGAGCGCCCTGCATCTGCCTTCTGCCGGGGCAGCAGGGGCTCATCAATTTTCCCTTCATTTGTCAAAGAGCACCATCATGGGAGGAAAACGGTGCCTATGAACAATTATATGAGAGGCACAGCCGCTGCGATGCCTGCCAGTGCCTTTGC